CTGATCCCAGCACCCATACTGCACACGTCTACTTCTTGTTTCCTTACATGCCTGAATTCCATTACTAGACTTTTTATTAGATAGATATCCCCTCTGGCTCTATAAAGCAGTTTCCACTTACCAACCACGCATCTAACTAGCACTGACTAGCACCTTCTGGACTTAGTCTTTTAAAAAGAAAAAGCTAGCTCTTCTGTTCTTGCTAGGAAACACAAAAGGAACCAATGTTTACCCTCTAGGTATAAGCATTGACTTGGTTTAGTATGTATTTATAGACAGAGTCTTACTATGTAGCCCAGGCTGGCCTTGAATTCCTACCATTTCTTCCCTAGCCTGTCTCCAGTACATTAATGAGCCAAAAGCCTGGCCTAGGGCAGCAACCACAGGCTACAGTTTCAAACCACATATATGTCACAAGTCCCATTAGCTGAGGGGAAAATCATCTCTATGCTCATGTGTCGATGGCAAGAAATCACTAAACACCTCTTAGACTGGAGGCATGCTCAGTAACGGGGTCCTTGTTCTTCTTCATGCTGGAGGCTCTGGAGTTCATCTCTAGCACTGTAAACATCAAAACCCAAAGTTAAGTCTCTCCCCTCCATTCTCCAATGACCTCTCAACCTTGTGAAGAGAAAATCAGGAAATGGAGAATGAAGGAAAAGAAGGATAAGAACTCCCTTAGGTACCAGTGCATTACAAAGACCACACCCTGCAACTTGCCCCTTCTTCCTTATGTGCCTGCAGTACCATGATGCCCCAGCTACAACAAAGAGAGTCAAGCACACCCAGTGGGCCCTGCTCATGTTCTTGGAATGCAAGAACGCTGTCTCAGCAGTGACCATTTTTCAGAGCCCTGCTTTTGAGCATACTTCATGAATCACCACAGAGGAAACTACCAAATCCACTACAGGCAGGCTCATTAGTCTTCTCTTCTGTAGACAGGTCTTGTTTTTATATGCTCAAATGTTCTCTCTCTTCTCTGGAGAGACACAACTCTGGTGACTTCCTAAAGACATGGATGGCCTTGAGGCAGCCAGTTGTTGGCTTTGCAGGAAGGAATTCAGTGTTTGCCTAATTTATTTGAGATTAGTAAATCACACTAAAAGACACACAGACAAGTTTCTTTCACTGGGTGCTTTTTTGTTTTCTGGCCTTTTTTTTTTGAGACAAGGTCTCCCTATGTAGCCTCAGCTTGCCTGAAGCTCCCTGAAGAGTAGCACCAGGCTACTTTTAATCTCAAAAAGAGACCAGGCTCTGGCTCCAGAGTGCTAGGATTAAAGGTGTTTGCTACAAGGCCTAGCCTCTATTGGATGATTTGCAACTGAAAATGGACAGTCTCTTTACTTAGCTATTTAATATCACTGTAAGGGAAATACATTTGAAGCAGTGGTCTCCAGACTCTTCGAATACCCCTATTGACTTTTCTGGTCTCCTCAGACCTAGTAAAGGCTCCTCTGGAGAGGTTCCTTATATTTAAAGAATCCATAGACACAAGGGGACTCCTGTCTCTCTGTAGTGGGTGTCCACCACCCATGGTCTTTACATGTACTGTGGCCCTTTGGCCCTGGCCCCCTGGTTGATGTTGACTAAGTCATAGCTCCATTTGCTCCCTTTGTACCCTGCTTTGCCCAGCCCAATGAACGGCATCAAAGGTTATATTTAATTTCCACTTCTCAGAGTATCTTTCTAAGGATTAGCAGTGACCTCTACATCCCCAGAAAAGTTATCTTACGAGGCACGCCCTAGATGCTTCCTTCTTCACACCTGAGGTATATCAAGGAGGACTTCTACATTTGCTTCCACCTGCTGTCACCTCCCTTCCCTCTCAGCCAAGAGACATTTGGTTCTGATTAAGTATGGCAATCAAGATGCTGGCCTGATTGCTGTTAAGCGATGGAGTCCATCACTGTTAAGTGAGACAACTGTAATTACCAGGCTTCAGCAATGATTTCCATGCCTTCCCCAGGAACAAATGAATGTGCCATGCCTCGTGAACTCCATTTCCTGAGGAGTTTTCAAAGTGGGCTCTCCTCTCAGATGGGCAGAAGCAGGGTCTTTAGTTAAATAGGGATTTGCTGACAAGTTGCAATATGTTATGACATAAATAACTTTTAGGAAGACGTGATTGATATTCACTCGTACTTGCTGTGTAGTAGGATAGTTACTTAAAATACACGTTTACATCTTCTGCACCCATGGCAAATGATACTGACTCCCTTTCACAGCTGATAGTCTGAGCAGAGAGAGCCAGCTGCAACTGAGAACAGAGGGAAGATGGTTAACTTGGCTTTAGTGATCTAAAGCCTGTCTCTCCCATATTAAAACATTTTCCAGCATCTCTGACATGTAAGTAATCACTGTGCTGCCTCCAATATTGACAAGAATCACGTGTTTAAACCTTTAAGTCACAAGTCACTGCTGTAAAAAGGCTGCATCTGACACCTGCCCAGCACTGGAGCTACTGAAGGCTAGTGAAGGGGAGGTGTGAGGGTACTTCCCCTTCTCTGTAGCCAGTGTCAGAAGAATCACCCGGAAGACCTGATGGAGACTACAACTCCAGTCACCCTGAGGATCAGTTTATGATCCTACTAGCAGCTACCAGTAAAGTCAGAGTCACAAGGCATGCTATATGGAATGACTAAACTGTACTGGACAGCACTGTTACCCTGGCAACACAGTGAGACAATGTAATGATTCTAAGGATTTTTTTTTTTTGTAATTCTTTTTACAAGTCAGGTGCCATAAACATTCAAATAATGAACTGAAAAGCATGTTTACAACATCAAAACAATTAAGATGAAATATAAACCTCTTACAATTTTTATACATATTAACCAAATCACATAAGCCACAGATAAATGTTCAAGTTTAACAATATAATGAAAAAAACATTTAAATTCTTAATAAAATCTTCCTTCAACATTCATTTTTAGAACTTACCATTATCCTAAATAATCTATGCAGTTTAGGATAGAATACCAAAAAGGGATCCACAGAACAAAGCAGATACAAAGCTGCGTCAGAACTTTCTGGAGTGCTCTGAAGGGTGAATGGCACAGAAAGGCAACAAGCTTCAGGTAGGCAGGTGCAAGCCTGGGGACTCTGGAGTCCCACTGCTGATCCAGCCCGCTAGGCTGCACAGAGCATGACAAGTTCACTCTGTTCTTACCTTTCATATCTTTCATATAGTGTACTATATTCAAAACACAACAATTTTAAAGCACAAATGCTTTAAAAAGAACTTGTAAGCAAAAGAACTGCTCAGATTTTCAAAACCATCACATTTACAAAAATATTTCCCTTAAACATGGAATTGCTCCAAAACACTGATTTACATATATAAAAGTATATGAAGGACCCAAAGCATATGCATATGTTACCATATTATATAAGTCACCAAAAGTTCAAACATAACTATTAATATTAATGTATTATCCTAAGCAGATGAAAGTGTCCTCTAAGTGATCTGAATACTATGTGGCATGCAGTGAAGGTGTCTACCTTTGTGATTCCTCAGTTAGCTGTTGTTAATTCACAGTTTTCCACAACTAACAGTCACGCCCAGCCCAAGCGCTGCCTGTACTCTAATGAGAGGGACGAGGATGGGGGCAGTAAAAATGCACCACACCATAGGTCAGTGTCAGCTCTGAATGCTGGCATCACCAAGTGCTCTGGGATTGTTGGATAGCTACCGTCTTCATGATAAATGTTTTCATGTTTTGTTTTTGCTCACATTTTAAGACTTGGACAAAAAGCCCACCCAGCAGACTATGTATGTATCTATGTATATGAACAGTAGAGGCATTCAATGACACCAGTATGGAGATGATCTATCTCAGCCACACATTTTTAGAAATGTGAGAACCAGAATAACTGAGTGTTCCCATACCCGACAGCTGGTAGTTACAGCGGCTGGATGAGAGCAGCACTGCCTGCTGTGTAGTGGTGAGGATGCTGTAAGTGGTCTCACATCAGCCCCGCTCCACAGCACCAGCAAGAGCAGAAAGCTCAGCCCTTGACAAGATGATGCTACGGTTTCCTTACTCAGAAGAGAGCAAATTAATCTCATGGGATTAAAAATATAAAAAAGAAACAAGTAGGAGAGCTGTCAGTACTTTTAAAAAAGATAAAAGAAAAGGGGAAACTGACTTCTACTGTATATATGAAGGCTGAACCACCCTCCTTCAACGCCAGGTGGGCTTCATGTGTGAAAGTGAAAAGCAGGGATTTAGGCCAAGAACTGAGATCTGGTTTCTGGGATGAGTCAGGCATCCTTTTGTCAGGGGAGGTGTGTTACCGTGAACCTGGTAGCAGGTACCATGGGATGCTGAACAGTCCTTCCCACAGCTGTAGGATACAGAGGCAATAAGGTCCTTTTCAGAAGGAGCCAAACTCCAACTTGGTATGTTTGGTGTCATCATCAACACCTGACTACTTGAGACCTGTTTTTAAGAGAGGAGGACCATGTCAGATTCACTTGCTGTTCTTTTTGTTTTTTGTTTTTTTTTCAGACAGGGCCTATAGTGTCCTGTCTTAGACCTCACTATGCAAAACCAGGCTTGCTTCCAATTCAGAGATCCACTTGCCTCTGACTTCTGAATGTTGAGATTAAAGGTGCATGCCACCATGTGCAGCTGAAAAGGACCTTTTTCTAAGCCATTTTATGTAAACTGATGTGTGGGGCGGTGCATGGGGGGCAGGGTGGGGTGAGGAGGGGTAGAGTAAGGCCCATGAACATTTTTGTCTGAAGCACAAGTCATAAATTGATTTGACTGTCCACGGAGGAAACACCGATCCAGAGGAAATCAACACTGAATCTTAACATCGGTGTAAAGATAAAGATGTACATTTATTTCCATGAGTTACAAGTGCATTGCATTGCTGTTCATACTAGCAGGCAGTCTTTATAGAACCCATTTTCCATTGCTGTCAAGAAAAAAAAAAAAAAAGAAAAATAAAAACAAAAAAAAAAGGAAAACACAAAAAAACCAAAAGGACAGCTGAGAAATTAAAAGTTAACAATACAATTTTCTTTCCTACATTATCTTCTGGGTGGCATTCTCTTCATGGAATACAACTCAGAGGTCACAACAGATTTTGCTTAATCAAAGGATGTGACATTTGGACACTGGTCTCTGCACAGAGACCTTAACAGTCATGCAAGAGCACAGTAAGTTATTGAACAAGGCAAATTTCTCATCAGAGAGCAGTGAGGAGGGTCAGGAGGCACCGCACTGGGAAAACACCTCAACTCACAGCACACAGTGCAGGGACAAAATATAGGAGAGAAGGAAATAAAAGAGCTCAAACAGTTACTGCTGTCTTTTGTGACATGAATTCAGCAGTACCAGAAACACCTCTAACCTGGCAACAGAACAGAGCTTCATGAGGAGGGCTCGTGAAGGTTTATTCCATACAAGTCATCACACTGCTGAACAGTGAGCCCGAGATGCTGACATGCTGCAGGGGAAGAACTGTACACTTTCTCATTGAAAGATGCAGTGTTCCTTTTGCTAAATCCCTAGGCAGTAAACGTGGTTACGAAAACAGCCTTCTGTGTGGAACAGCTCAAGGCTCTATGGGGCTCCACCCTGAACATCTAGGTCAGCTTGCTCTCTACTTTTCTGGAAACTTACACAGCTTAGTGCATGTCCATCTTGCAGCAAATGACAAGCACAGCTGTTACTTTCAATCTCTGGCCAATGATAGCATGTAACATTTTGACAAGCACTATACCTCCATTAAAATGCTAGTAACCATATAAAAGCTACAGAATAACATTGCTGGTGCAATGCTTCCTTTCGATTTCATTTAAACAATGATCAAATTTTTAAAAAGCTGGGCAAATAGTTCATATCTTAAATTTGGGACTAACATGATATACAGAATGTCCCCAAGGACTCCTGCAACAGAAGCACCTGCCCCTGCAACTTGTAACACCATCCAGGGACATCCACAAGCTCCTACTCTATCTTGGTAGACAGGTACTAGCCAGCTGATGAAGTGTAAATTTGGAGCTGTCACTGACTTAAGGTGCCTTATGTCACCACCTTCCCTATTGTTAAGTCTGGAAAGACTCTTGCTCTGATGGTTCAGCAGATGACATGTAGAAAGGATTCAGGACAGGGAGGAACCACTGCATCTTTCAACCAGAAAGCAATTAGTAACTAAACAGTAAGCAGTTAAGTGCACTGAAAGTGCACACTGCTGCAGGGCCTGGTGCCAGGAGAACTCTCTGGACTGAAGGAATTCCATGAAAGTATAAAAGCCACTACTACCAGAAACTGCCCCTCTGAATGGTTCAAAGGAGTCAAGAGTGGGTAAGCTGAGACGGGCTGGAGACAGGACCAGGGTCAAGAACTGGGGGGACACCGGCATCTGAACTTGTCCAGTCCTCTGAGCCCTTGTCCTGTAAAACAAAGACAAACTCAGGAGTAAGGATAGAGCCATGTCAGAACAATAAAGGCAACAAAGCACAAAATGGAAAAGTAAAAATGTAATGGGAATAAAAAGATC